ACCTAACATATATATATTTAAATTTTTGTTTATTCGTATTATACAAAATCTTATTCTCTACAAAATGACATATATATTGTATATATTTTTTTAGCCTATAATTATTATAAATATTAAATAAATATAATATTTAAAAAAAATTATAAAAATGGCACCTATATGTCGGACATTTGGGAGATGTGTCAGCCGTTGTCGGATAGGGGGAGTCTCGCGCCTCCTGAGTCTTCAACAGTGTGCAAATAGTAGGTTTTGCCAAACCTGCTTTAAAGAAACATACCCTTAATATACGAATGGCTATCCGTTATTACATTTAAGTCTCTCACAATATTTATTTTTTGGTCTCTGTTTGTACTTACGTGTAATTCTAATACATCAGTGCCCAAAAATGTAAATTACATCTCCAAATGCCTTTTACACCGAATGAAGTTTTTTGGCCGATTTAAATGATATTTCGTTGACTGAATTCCTTTAATGCTTCGTTTATTGATCGAAATGCTCTCTGGTACACCTACTTTTTTTATATATATATACATATTACTTTTATTTTTATATTCATATACTTTTATTTTAAAAGTAAATTACAAATATAAAAAATATATCAATATGTATATCATTTTATAGAAAATAAATTTTGTAATAATACAGAAAAAATTAAAAAATATATAATATAAAAAAATATTTTGAAAAAAAAAATTAGATTTTTTGGAATTGGTTGATTTTTTTGGAATTGGTTGATTGAAAAAAATATATTCTCTATCTCATTTTCTCCTTCTCCAAACTCGGATGAATATTGTCTGTAAGGCCAACCGTCCGACCGGCCTGGTCCCAACAACCGTCCGACCGAATGATTCTGGCCCACCACTGGATCGATAAGTATTCCTAGCTCTCTTGCTCGACCACACTACCGGCTTCTCCTGAGCAAACACCAACCGATCTTCCGGCCACAAATTCTCCGGCAGTTGAGCTCCCGTCTTCGAGTCCTCTGGCCACGGAAAAAGTTGGCCCTTCCAAAGCCGGCCAACTAGCGGCCAATTCTCCTTAGGCCAACCGACTTCCCGTTGGAGATGAGTCTAGTAGACATATCCTTAGGCCAATTGACTTCTCGTTGGACGGTTGTCTCCAATCCTTCCCATGTGAGGCAAACCGACTTCCCGTTGGACGGCTGTCTCTAATCCTTCCCATGTGAGGCCAACTGACTTCCCCCAATGTTGGCTCCCTAAAATATATTTATATAATTCATTATCTTTCTTTCTCTCATCCTTCCATCCCACCAATTCGGTCTGCCACTTCTTTTTCTATTTTCTTTTTTTTCTCTCATCCTTTCGATCAGTCATTTCCTTTTTGTTTTTTCTCATCTCTCATTCTCTCTCACATAAGAATAATTCGGTTAACGTTTTTTTTTTTTCATTTTCTTCTTAAAATATATATATAATTCTTTCTCTTTCTTTCTCTTATTCTTCCATCCGACCAATTCGGTCTGCCACTTCTTTTTTCTTTTTTTCTCCCTTCTTGTTCTCTCTCCATAAGACCGATTTGGTCAACCTTTTTTTTTTATTTTCTCCCTAAAATATATTATATAATTCATTCTTTTTTTTCTCTCCCCCTTCCATCCGACCAATTCGGTCGGTCACTTTTCTTTTGCTGCAAAATATTTAAATTTATATTCTTTATTTATTTCAATTTATATATTTATATTCATATAATGTGATTTTTAAATTTTAATTTGAAATTTAAAATATATCAATATATGTTATTTTGTAGAGAATAATTTTGTTAATAATATATAGAAAAAAAAGAAAAAAAAGTATAATATAAAAAATATTTTAGAAAAAAAAAAAGAAAAATAGATTTTATAAAATTGGTTGGTTGCAGTTATAAAATATATATATATATATATTTATATAATTCATTTTATTTCTTTCTTTCCTTCTTTTATCCTATCAATTCGATGAGTCACTTTTTTTTTACCTCAAAATATCTATATCTATATTTATATTTTTTATTTATTTAAATTTATATATTCATATTAATATAATGTACTCCCTCCGTCCCATATCTATATATCCATTTTCTTTTTGCACGGAGTTTTAGAAATATTAGTATTATATTGGAATATAGTAGAAATAAAGATAAAAATACTAAATTAACCATATTAGTATTGTATGATATAAATGTAATGACATTTGTGTAATATATTGTAAATTGGAGGGTATTTGTAATGTTAGGTAGATAGTACAATTACTAAAAAAAAGAAATAGATATTTTGTTATGAAACGGATCTAAATGGAAAAATGGATAGATTGTTAAGGGGCGGATGGAGTAATTTTTAAAATTTAATTTGAAATTTAAAATATATCAATATGTACATCATTTTGTAGAAAATTATTTTTTAATAATAAAAAAATAAAAAACATATGATATAAAAAAGTATTTTGAAAAAATAAAATTAGATTTTTTTAAAATTGGTTGGTTGCAAAGTTATAAAAAAATATATATGTTTATATAATTCATTCTCTTTATTTCTCTCCTCCTTCTATACGACCAATTCGGTCAGCCACTTCCTTTTTATTTCAAAATATCTATATTCATATTATTTATTTATTTAAATTTATAATTTTTATTCATATAATTTAATCTTTAAAATTTAATTAGAAATTCTGGCCACAACAACCATCCGACTGAATAACTCTAACCCACCACTGGATCAACATAGTATTATTGGCTCTCTTGCCCGACCAATACCGGTTTCTCCTGAACAATCACCAACCGACCTTCCGGCCACAAATCCTCTAGCGGTTGGGCTCCCGTCTTTGGGTCCCCTGGCGGCTGGCCCTTCCAAAACCGACTAACCAGTGGCCGACTCTCCTGAGGCCAATCGACTACCCACTAGAGAGGAGTCTGGTAGACATATCTTGAGGCTAATCGACTTTTCACTTGACGACTGTCTCAATCATTCTCATGTAAGGCCAACCGACTTCTCCCAGTGTTGGCTCCCAAAAATATATATATATATATAATTCATTCTCTTACTTTCTCTCATCCTTCTATCCGACCAATTTGGTCTGTCACTTCTTTTTTTTTTCTTTATTTCTTTCATCCTTCCATCTGATCAATTCGATCAGCCACTTTTTTTTTTCGCTCTCTCTCTTCTCTCATTCTCTCTCTCATAAGAATAATTCCGTCAACGCTTCTTTTTTTTTTCTCATTTCCCCCTAAAATATATTTATATAATTCATTCCTTTTGTTTCTTTTATCCTTCCATCCGACCAATTCGGTCTGCCACTTCTTTTTTTATTCTATCTCTTCTCTCATCCTCTCTCCCACATGACTAATTCGGTCAAGCTTTTTTTTTTAATTTTCTTCCTAAAATATATTATATAATTTATTCTCTTTATTTCTCTCCTCCTTCTATCCGACCAATTCGGTCGACCACTTTCTTTTGCTTCAAAATATCTAAATTTATATTCTTTATTTATTTAAATTTACATAATTATATTTCATATAATGTGATTTTTAAAATTTAATTCGAAATTTAAAATATATCAATATATATAATTTTGTAGAGAATAAGTTTGTTAATAAAAAAAAGCTAAAAAAAGTATAATATAAAAAAAAAAAAAGAAAATTGCAAAAAATATCCATTATGTACCTCAAATTATCATTTTTAGACACTTTTTTTCGATTTCGCAAAGTATGACACTAAATGTTCTGAATGCCTTATTTATGTCCTCCGGCGTTGGAAAATATCACGTGCCGGGCACGTGCGACGACGTGGGATCGCGATTGCTGACATGTACACGGCCGATGCAGACGTGTACCACGACGTGTCATTTTCTAGCGGCTGACGTGGTACTAGTTTAAAAAATAAAGTGAAATGAAATATAGTTACTTTTTTTATTCTAATTTGGCCTGATTGGACCAAATTGCAAATAACACGAAATTAAAAATATTATAACCTCAATCGATCCATCGATTCACTCTCAATCCCCTTTCTCATCGTTCGAGCCCTGGATCCCCAATTCTCCCATCCTATCTTCGAGCACGTTGATCGCCGCCATTCACCACTGCCGCCTCGCCGACACGCCCCCGTGCGATTCATTTCATCGACACGCCGGTGTGTAGAGTAGAAAATGGAGAAAAGTCAGCACAGTTCGAGTGAGTTTTTATTTTGAATTTTTCTAAAATTTTGCATTTTTTGAACTAATTATTGTATAGATTTTGTGTTAGTTTTGTTTGGTTGATGTTATATCTTACTCAGTTGTTTCGGGTGTAATTAATTTGAAATGTGTTAATGTTCGGAGGTGGAACATCGTCGTACGTAGTTGCGGATGTAGAATGCTATTGTAGACTGAAGTCTATAACGCGCACTTCTTGGACGGTCGACAATCCCGGAAGAAGATTCAGTAGTTGTATGAAATCTAAGGTAAGGATTTATACGTTAAATTTATTGTCAGATAATATAGTATAAGAAGAACACTCATTGTATTGTGTTTCTCATATGTAGAGAGGAATACGGGCAGGGTGCCGTTTTTTCAGTGGGAAGATCCTCCTATGTGCCCTCGAGCTAAAGCTATCATCTCGGGTCTATTGAACAAGTTGAATGATTGAGATGACGAATTATGTCTCTGAAGCAATGATTTAGGAACTCGAAATTTCTGGTTGTCGCATGTTGTATTATTTCTATTATCCTATGTGTTTGGATAAGTTATTAAATACCGGTGATGAAAGTTTCCTAATAGTCGATCGAAGGTAGTTGTTTAGGTAGTTGTTTGGTTGCTTTTGTTGCGTATCTTGTTACTAACTATATTTGTATCAATTTTGTATTTCTGCCATAACAGTGGCAGTATCATCGTTGTTGATGAATGTATCGGCATGTATTCACTACTACTTGTATGCATGTAATTTTTCTAATGACAAACGATGAAGAATGTATTTGCAATTGCCTGTTTTTATGTAATTTCATTGGTATTACATACTATAAACAAAACGTCATAAAAATAGCACACCAACTACAAAACATGTTCAAAATAGATAGGCTAATCGAACTTGTAGACAACTTAATTTCTGTGCAATGACAAAGAGAACATGATTCAACCACATTTAACCATGCCCATTTCAATCCATATACACCATTTTACGGAAACTAAAACACAAGTTGTTTGCTCTTTTTGGATGCTCGAGTTGTCTTTGCCCCAGTCCGTATTCGATGCCGCTTGTTGAACTCCATATTCTCCTCAAATTGTTGTTGACGGACATGCGCTGGAAGCTCAATAAAAGAAACATCATCGTAATTTGGAGGATCTGAAACACGTTGCGGTCGAGACATTTCACTCGAACATTGTTGGCGGTTTTGGTATTGTGCTATAAGTCATTTCGGTTAAATTTTTTCCCTGCATCCATTTAAGATTTCAGGTATTATAGTAAATGTAAATTACATCTAATAGAGATAGTTACATCTAACGTAAAAAAAACCCTCACTTTGTCCACGGTTGCCTGAGTTTTGCTTTCAGAGAGTGGCTTGCTCACTTGATTGTTGACTTGGGTTTGCAAAACAAAATAATTACATCCAACACATTTTGAGATATAACTGTTGTAGATATGTGATACAATAATCGTAACTACAGGTATGTAGAGAATACTCAAGCTTCGTGTCGCTTGGACTGACAAGAGCTGCATCCCGTGGCTTGTTTCATTGGCTTTATGTGTCCCGATATTGCTTGCCTAAATATTAATATTTAGTACTTGTCTAAAATTTCGACGATATTAAAATTAACCAAAAAAAAGTTTCCTTAAATTAAATTGCTTACACTTCGCCTTTGTGACAACATTGGATGCCCCATTCCTTTTCGAACCACATTTTTGTCCACCTCGTAAGCACCTACTTTGGTAGTAGACTCTTGTCTTGCCAATTCGAGTTGCCCATCCGTTAGTTTGATGATATTTCCTAGTTCCTATGTATGAAGAATTATTGTTAAAATAAATGGACAACAAAAGTAATTCTAATCTTGTAAATCTTACCGGTGGGGTTTAAAAGTAGATGGAAGATCTTTTCCTCTGCGTCGTTGACTTTCCACTTCCATTTCGACTACTGCATCCTCAAAGTCCACGCTATCCCCCACCGACGATCTAATGATACCCTCAAACGATAAAGACGCGTCCTTTTTCCCCAGATTTCTACTATTATCCTTTATGTTTTCTGTTTTTTGTTGTAACATGCCTAGAATCGCCCCCCTCCCATCAAGGCAGCGCAATACTTCTTCCTCTGATATACTTTTACCTTCCTCAACTCTTTAATATGTTACTATCTTTTTTTTTTATTATTTTTATCTGCAATATTTATAAATAATTCATTTGTAATAGACAAATTTATCTGCTTACAATTTTATATTAAAATATTATTAGTTTTAATATTTTTGTCCAAATAAAAATGCATAAAAAAATAGTCGTTTGAATATACACATTTTATAAAAATAATAATAAATTTTTATAATGATTATGATAATTAAATGATAAAAATATGAAAAAAAAAAAATCGATGGGTTTGTTTGCCTAGAATTTTATTTTCGATACAATTCTTAATATATATTTTATATTCTTATAAAATTAATATTTAATATAAAATAGGGTAAACTGTTTTTTTTAAGTCCCATAACTGGATCCCTTTATTATTTTAATCCCGTAAGTGGAGTCTGTCGCAAACTAGTCCCATAAGTGAAAAATTTTCGTTGTTTTAGTCCTTCGGCGTCGAAGACGTCCGCGTAGCTTGCCGGAGGTGACATGTGGATTTATTTATTTTTTTTTCAATTTTTTTTATTTTTTAATTTTTTTTTAATTAGACAAAATTTAAAAAAAATACAAAAAAATTAAAAAAAAATTAAAAGTTTTAAAAAAAAAATTAAAAAATGAAAAAAAAAATTAAAAAATCCACGTGTCCGCGAGGTCAGCGACACCTGACGGACACGTCACCTCCGACGAGCCACGCAGGCATCTTCGGCGCCGGAGGACTAAAACAACGAAAATCTTTCACTTATGGAACTAATTTGCGACATGCTCCACTTACAGGACTAAAGTGATGAAGGGGTCCAGTTATGGGACTAAAAAACAGTTTACCCTATAAAATATTATTTTGTATATTACTAACACAATTTTATATAGTATTTTATATAAAAAAAAATCTTCAAATCAAAACCCCAAACAAGCAAACCCAATATTTTAAAATTTTACTTGAATAAGTTTACACTTGACTTATCTTATTAACAATTCTTAATTTAAAATACATTGTAAGCTATATGTTTTATAATTAATTTAAAACTCATTTATAATGTAGTATATACTCACTCCATCCTACCAAAAATGATCTTTTTTTACTTTTCCGTATGTTTCATTTTTATAGTAAATTTATCTATTTTAAATACAATTGATAAATATAAATCAATTTAATTAAATTTCAATCTCTTACGCGTATGACTCACTAAAAAAATTCTTTTATTTCGATCACTCTCTTAATTAATAAATATTTTTATGTACTTATAAAAAATTTTATTTTTTTTATAAAACTAATTTTATGGTAATAATAAATAAATTGTTCTCGCTCAAAATATTTTTCAATGACTTATCGGAGCGGCCTGAAAAAAAATGGGGTGAGTCCTCCGGCTTCCTCCGAAAAGGATCCGGAACCGTGTTCACAATATTAAGAAATTAAGAAACAAATAAAAATGGACAAAGATAAAAGGAGAAGAAAGCAAGGAAATTAAAGGAATATGACATGAAATTAAAGGAAGCTAAAAGAAAAATAAAAGGAGAAAGGAAAGTAAATTGAAGAAAAAGAAAAAGAAATTACATAAAAGTGAAAATTAAAAAGAGAAAAATAGGAAGTCTGCAGAGAAGTCAGCAAGGCCCTTGAGGTAAACTCTTCACTTTAATTTATACTACTGCCTACCAAATCTAAATTTAGCTAAGATTCTAGTTTATCCAAAATCTGCTAATATCTTAATAAATTATCCAAAATCAAATAATATCTTATCATAAATAATATTTTGGGATAACAAAATGCCCCCCACAAAAGTGTCGATCAGGTAAAATAATTGGAATTGTATCATTCCTTTTTCTTTTAGCTGATCGATACTTTTGTATATAGAACTTGATCAGCTCCTTCAAACCACTTCCGACGCCCATCCAACACGATAGTGAAAAATAAAGACTTTAAATGGCGTGCCTCATTCTCCGATGGCTTCTGAAAAATTATGGACTCAGTGGTGGCATCATCGGCAGGGCTATCCTCCGTTCTTTATACAACAGGATTGTCGTTTTTCATCATGATGTCGCCTTGTAGTGATTGGATCTGATCGTAATAGGTGATGAACTCGACGGGCAAAATTTCAATTGTATTTACCGTAAAATCGCCATGGAACTAAACTACAAGGTCGAGGTCATGATTGGAGGCAATAATATTCAAACTTGCCTAAGAAAAATTATCTTCATCAAGGGCATCGATCCTCGTTTCCTCATGCATCTCCAAATCACCCGTAACCATTGGTACTTTTCCTTTATCCTTGTTCGGCACAACTTGTGAAGTGCTCGCTTCGGCTTGATGGTTCGACCTCCATTCCCTGTGATCATTTAAATTCAAATGGGGGTTATCAGGGACTGTTTCCCTATGAATGATGAGTTGTGAATCAGCGTCATGAGTAACAATATGTGTGTGGTTGTCTTGCTGCTTTGGTCTCTATTCTTTTCGGCTATTTAAGTGATGCCGAAGATTTCCGAACTGAACAGCTTGCTCGGAGATTGTCCTGGTCACATGCCCAGCTCGCGCTTTACTCAAATATTTTCTAAGATCCTTGTGTGATACCCCTGCAGGGGCGGCGACCCCGGTCAGCATGTCGGAGACCAGGTTTGGGCTTTGCTCGCTTGCCAGCCGTGCTGCTTGACGCCAACGCCGTCGACGCCTTTTTTGGGATCGGGAGAGTTCTTGATATTTATTAGGACCTTGATTAATCGCCCAACTCCTATATCGTGAAGCTGTTTCAAGTCGCGGAGTCGGGTGAGGAGTAATGATAACTTGATCTACCGACGATACCCTCCAAATTTCTCCGTTCTTTTCGAAACTTCCTTTGGCCATGGTGTTCGAGGGTGCCAATCTATCCCATGTAGGATTCTGGCGTGGGGGATGATGTATTTTTCTTACATGCTCGACAGCAGGTCTGTGCGGTGCCATTGGCTTCTGAATTTTTTCTTTATTGGCGCTTTTGACCTCTTTTCTTTTTGATATTGAATTTCGATCACATTCATAGGAGCAAGGAATTGATTGGTGTCGATCTTCACCTCTGGCCGATCGGCGAGGCATAATCGGCCTTCTTTGCTTGCCTTTTGCACCATATTTTGGAAAGCAATGCAATTTTCAATGGTATGACTGAAAAGTCTATGCCATTTACAAAAGCTCTTCCATTTTAACTTCTCAACCAGTAGAAATTTATTTTCATCTTTCAACCTCAGTTTCTTGTCTTTGAATAAATAGTTAAATCTTTGTTCTGACTTGGTGATATCAAATGAAGAATTCCCTTTCGATTTGTTTACTTTTTTTCTTAGAAGCTTTTCGAGTTGGGCAAGTGTACGCCTCTCTTTGTGAAAATTCAGTGAGGCATATGTCATCGGTGTCATCCTCGGAAGCCGGCATGCCGTCTTGTTCCTGCACAAAATCAACCGTTTGGAAAGTACGTTGTTTTCGGTCAGCTTGTTCATCACGGTGGATTTGTTCTGAGGCTAGTTGTGGATGAGAATATTCTTCGATCATGGCTGCAATGTTGTGCGATGTGGCCGATGGTGTTAGAATCGGTGGTGGACATGTGCGCTGTTTTGTGTCTTCTATGATTGCTTCGTGGTTGATTCAGAAAAGCTGGATTTGAGGATTTTTCGGCTTCTCTCTTGGTCCATGACCTTGAGGAGCTTGCGGAGGATCTCTGGAAACCCGAAGACTAGCGTATGGCGGCTGTGAAATCAAAGGAGTGGGCATATGCATTGGTTGCGCAAATACCGATTGTTGGGCAGCCCCTCGATGAGCATTGTAAAAATGGCTTCCTTCGGGCATGTCTAATGATGTCGGGGTCTACAAAACCTCGCCAAATCCTGTTAAAATGACGTAGCTTGTGGCGCCAAGCCTGAACCCGCCACCATGCCTGCAAAGCTTGCAAAATTGTGTGTCCCTTGTGGAAACGCACTCATTGTATTGTCAAATTGCCCCCCACCCCCATGTACGGGTATCCGGATGATTAGGGACCATATAGGTGCTACGCCGAACATCGAAAAGTATGCCGAATACGGCGGCGGTGCCTAGCCGCTCCAAACGGCCACTGAGCTTTGCTCCTGGATAAATTGAGGCTGTGGTAGCGCGAATCTTTCCATGGCGGGCGGTGACTACGAGTTGACTACCATCACCGGTGGAAAAAACATTTGCGGGGCTGTCGGAATAGCTGTCGATCCGGGTAAAAGGCGCCGTCGGGGCGAATAATGGGTTTTGTTGCCAGTAGACATATTGCTCCATGCCCCCCGGCGTATTAGATGTCTCTCCAGCAAATTGTCCGTCTTTATTCTGCATCGAAGCAAAAGGCTGCACGTTGGAGATATCTTGATTCCTGCAAAGGATTGTAACCTGGCCGAAGCGTAGCACTTTAGAAGCTGCTGGTTCGGCCACCGATGTTGGTTGTTCAATCCGAGCAAGTTCAAGTTTGGGGGCAATATTAGGAGATTTTCTTTTTCTTTTCTCTTTCTCCTGGAATTGAGTTATCTCAAGAATATCTGAGAAGTACTTTGTCAATGAAAAACCTTGAAGAGCGGATCGAACTTTCGCTTGGGGGCAATATTAGGAGATTTTTTTTTTCTTTTCTCTTTCTCTTGGAATTGAGTTATCTCAAGAATATCTGAGAAGTACTTTGTCAATGAAAAACCTTGAAGAGCGGATCGAACTTTCGTTTGAATGTAATCTTGAGTAATTGGCATCGAAACGAGGGAATTATGTTTTCCAGCCTCCATCAATGCAGAGGTCTCCATGTAAGGCATGTTCTTCAACGATGTCGATGGTTGCTCACCAATCCGTGTTTTGTCTTTGGATTATTGGCTATCCTTGAAATTCATCGAATCGTCTGACTCATGTCTTTGCAAGTTTATGAATGTAGAGGAACATGACGTATCCCATCAAGCGTGTCAATCTGTTGTCACTCAAAATATTTTTGGACGGCTTATCGGAGCAAACCTGCTGAAAATTGGGTGAGTCCTCCGGCTTCCTCCAAAGAGGATCCGGAACTGTGTTCACAATATTAAGAAATCAAGAAACATATAAAAATGGACAAAGATAAAAAGAGAAGAAAGGAATATGACATGAAATTAAAGGAAGCTAAAAGAAAAATAAAAGTAAGAAGGAAAGTAAATCGAAGGAAAAGAAAAATAAATTGCATAAAGTGACAATTAAGAAGAGAAAAATAGAAAGTGTGTAGAGAGGTCAAGGGGCCCTTGAGTAGACTCCTTACCTCAATTTATACTAGTTTATTCAAAATTTGCTAATATCTCAATAAATTATCCAAAATCAAATAATATATTATCTCAAATAATATCTTCGGATAATATAAATAAATAAATTTTTTTATTTGTATTATATCAAATTTTATTCTCTACCAAACGATATAATGTTAAAAATATTTAAAATACCAATAATATTACTCATATAAAATATAACAAAATAATATTATAACTTATTATTAATAACTTACTAATTTTTACTACCTAAAATACTGTATATGTAATCAAATGGATCATTTGACCTGGGACACGGACGGAGTCTATAATTTTGTATTAATCATTTTAAAATAAAATTTATGTAGAAGTCATTCTACTATAAATATATTAATCCTCCGTCAACTAAATTTATGTGTGTTTTTCTTTTTTTTTTCATAAAAAATACTCATTAGGTCCCGTGATTAAGTATACATTTAGTTTTGCATGTTGATATTTGAATATTAATTATTATATCAAAATATATTATAAATTAAGCAAAAAATAACAAAAATACTTCTATTAGTTGTTAGTTATTTTATTGTTATTATATTTATTCGAAGATAAGGAATGTCGTATCGAGTTATTTTTGGGAATGGTTGCGTGGGATACGCGTTCGAGAATGCCTATACGACATTGAACAAAATGTTTAATAATTATATGAATTTGTATATGGATGGATGGTTTAGTCATATCCATGACTAAAAGAGGGTTATATATTTTAGTATGAAAAACACATATTTTCTAAATATGTGATATATTTTGAAATTATTATTTTCAAAAGTAGGAATTAAATTAAATTAATTTATGAATAAAATTTTCAAAATTCAGAGTAAATTAAGTATTTAAATTGAAAAGATTTAATCTTTTAGATTTGAAATTAAAAGTTGCAACTTTTCAATACATCTTTTCTTTAAATAGACACTTCGGTAAGGGTGTGTTTGTTTGGGGGATTGGATTTTAAATCCAGTATTCATCCTATTTTTTCCCCCGAAAACATCAAATTAAACACTTATTTTTCATTTTTTATATTATATTAAAAATCAATTTTACATTCAAAACATCACATCAATACCTATTTATATCACGTCATATAACTATTCAAATCCCAACTCAAAATCCAAACAACACATCCTTAATAAAACTTATCTTTACAAATGACATGACAAAATAAATAAATAAATATGCAGTAACATATTCTTGTCAGCAGAATTCTGTAAATTAATCTGCATAAGCCCATAATTTCCAACCTTTTATTTGCTCGATTTTTCACCTAAAATACGAATGTTGCTTTGTTTTATCATCGTACAGATTTTGTGTAACCCGGAGCGTTAATAGGGTCGAAATATCGTATAAGGAAAGTGAATCTACGTGACTAAAAGTATATTTAAGATCGTGTATACCCTGCGAAATTCGATTTTTTCTTATTTTCATTTAATCTAGATTATTTCTCTAACGATAGTATCTTATAATACTAATATAATATCATTTGTAAAAAAAAAATTATACAAATATAAATATAAGAATATTTTTAATGTTAAATACAATGACACAAATAGTAAATGGATACTTGTTATGGGACGGAAGAAGTATATATTTTTCAATTATATTAAATAATTAATATACACTCCTTAATTTATATTATTCAATATTATATTTATTTACAAAAATACCACTATTAGTTACACATTTAATTTATCAAAAAAAAAAACTCATTTTATTATTAACACGTTTATATTATTTTTCAAAATAATCATATTTCATATCATAATCAATTTATATAATATTATATTTATTAAATCTCTCGTCTTCAATCCAATCCAAATGAAGATAATAATAATATTTTCTATCATAATAATAATATTACTGTAATAATATTATCTATAATACAATTACAATAATATTATCTATAATAAAATTATAATAATATATAATAATTTTAATTATAAATACGATATGTTTATAAAAATATTGAATTAAAAAATTTTACCCCGCGGCCTCCTATACCAATTTTTTCAGCTTTCTTCTTTTTCACCGTTGATCCGCTTTTCAAACAATAAAGAGGAATGAAAGAAGACGACGATAGATCAGATGAAAGTGAATCAATGGTCAGGTTCCTACATTCCTTTTTTTTCAGTTAAGAGTAAAAATAATATTCCAAAAACACTATGAACCAACGAGCAGGGAAATCAACAATTCACAATTAATTACTGTGTGTTTGTTTGGGGATTGGATTTTAAATACACAGCGTATATTTTTTATTTTTTTATATTATATTAAAATTTAATTTTACATCACATTAATACTTATTTATATCACATCATACAACTATCAAATTTAAAATTTTTACTATTCAAATCTCAACTCAAAATTCAAACCCCCAAACTAACACACCCTAAAAGAATATTAAAAAAAAGGTTTCGATTTGATGGCCGACTCGAAACAAATGTTGCATGTCTAATAACAACCGTTGTAGCTATACAAGTGTTTGTTTGGGGGTTTGGATTTTGGATTGAGATTTGAATAGTAAAATATTTAAATTTGAATAGTTATATGATGCGATATAAATAAGTATTGATGTAATGTTTTGAATGTAAAATTTACTTTTATTATAATATAAAAAATAAAAAACAAGTGTTTGATTTAATGTTTTTGGGAGAAAAATTATATGTAAATAATACCAATCACCTAAAATCCTTTAAACAAACACACTAATGTATTAGATTGTGTTATTATGACAATGTTTGGATGATATAAGTAAAAAAGGTTAATATTATGAGTTTGTCTATCCAATTTTTTTTTTATTATTATTATTTTTCTATAAATATTATACTTTATTTGTCTAGATCTAAAGTCACATTTACCTTTTGCGTCATTATATTTAATATTAAAAATATTTTTATATTTATATAATTTTTTGCACAAATGTCATTGTAATAGTATTACAAGACACTAATAGAAGTATTTTTGTTATTTTCCTTTGATTTGGACTACGTTTTCATATAATAATTAATATTCAAATATCAACACACAAAAAATAAATGAGACTTTAGAGTCGGATGAACATAGTATAAAAAATGCAATATATACACATTAACAATATAATGGAGTATATTTTATTTACTCAGAAAAAATAAATAATTCAATATAAAATACTATATATATTTTTAATTATCGAGACTAGACGATTTTACATAGCTAAATTATAATTTTAATAGCGAAGTACTCCCTCCGTCCCACATACTATGTCCACGTTGTATCTTACTTTCCATGTGACTTTCTTTATTTTTTTTAAAAATGATTACACACTTTAATTTCATTTTAAATTTTTTAATTTAATTTTTTTAATTTTAATATTATCTACTAATTATACCCTCCTAAAATATGTATGCGGGAGGGAGGGAGTAATTTTTTATATTAAATATTAAATTTATTTTCTAAATTTTTTATTTAAAGGGAACCTTAAAGAAATAAATTTAAAACGCTACTAATTTCGTATAAAGAAACATGTAGTAATAAATTTATAGAAATGAATCTAAAGTGTTATAAAAAAACGTATAGTAGTACTAATTTAAAATTGAATCATGATTAATCTATGGGATTAAAAAATACATTTTTACCTATGTATATATATTTATATATTTCAACAACAAATGAATTCTAACATTACATAATCCTGGCGAGCCCCCATGGAAATGGCGGCCGCATACAATTCAACCTAACAAGTAACAACACGTCCTCCATATTTGCCCTTTTTAGAACCCTAATTTGGCAATCCCAGGATGCTTCCAATCAACAATTGCTTCTTGTTAAATGAAACCAATCGATCAACAATGCAATAATCGACAAAACTCTGCTGACGAAACTGTAAATTGAATATATCCATGGCCTTTTTACGCACTAGGCTTTCCTGGGGTTCTTCACTTCTGGTATTTCACCTGTCTCAACGAATTACTCCATGTAATAACGAGTCTGCATTTAATTGGTTTCTTTCGAATTTCAGTTGCAGGGCACGAACCTGACTCGTCCTGGAGTCGGTGAAGGTATTTTGTTTAACTCTCTTTTCGTGCTTCTGTGAGAAATTAACTAAGTAATTTGCATTCTATGCTGCCTTTATTTGGATTTTCCATTGATAAACTGAATATAGATCAGTTGTTGCTGATTTTGGTGTTTTTAGATAAATATAATGTAATGAGTTTTAGATAAATATGCTTGGGGAAATGAATTTTATTGAACTTCCTAAAGTTGAATGAACTGTAGCCTTGATATATATGCATATATTAGCTTTTTCATTATTGCAATCATTGTTGTGTAAATATGAAAATAGAGCAAATTAGTTTCTATGGATTCTGGTAACTTGTTTTGTTGACAATCATAGGGATTGGAGGAAGTCTTCAACATAGATATAGCCCGATTTCCGGCATAGAGAAAAGAGTGAAGAAATTGGAACAAGAGGAAGGAAGCCTGATTCCAGAGGATGAAATTGCCAAGATTAGGCATTTATTTGATGATGCAAAAGAGAAATTCCGTAAAGTACCTGATGCTTTGAAAGAAATGCCGAAAATGAATCCTAAAGGTTTCAAGATTTCCTATTTGTTGTATAAATTGAAGTGTGAATTTTTATTTTTATTTATTTATTTTTATATATCAATGTGCTACTAATGGTATTTCTTTTAATGGTGTTTCAGGCATATATGTCAATAAGAACTTGAGATTGGACAAAGTACAAGTGTATGGATTTGATTACGACTACACATTGGCACACTATTCTGCCTGTTTACAGAGCTTAATCTATGATCTAGCGAAAGAGCATTTGGTTAATGAGGTTTGTGGGCTATTTTTCAACAGGAAATAATTGTGAAATGTTCCTGTTAATGTTGCATATGTTGCTACAAAATGTATAATGTAATGATTCATATATTTATCTTTTGCTCTGTTTTTTCAGCTTAAATACCCTGAAAGTTGTATCGATTTCAAATATGATAATTCATTTCCGATAAGAGGGCTTTATTACGACAAGTCAAAGGGTTGCCTTTTGAAGCTTGATTTCTTTGGATCAATTGAGCCTGATGGTTGCTATTATGGCAGGCGCAAGGTACGGTATTTAACCAGTTATCTTTTAAATGCTCACTGATGGCTTGATTCCCCCGTATATTTCTGGATCAGAGGGTACTCTTCTTTTTAATAGAAATGATGAGAGGATGCCTTAGTTTTTTGGGAATTAATTGAGTATTTATTTTACGGACAAATGCTTGTGTGTTGTTTCTTTCTATTTATTACTATGGCATTGTATTACTAAGAACTTGTCAGGAATCTAATATTGTGTCTTGTTTCTTTCTTTTACTTATATTATATCCTTTATTTGAGAGTGAGTTGGTTAGGTACTTGAGGTGAGAAATAAAAGTAAAGCACCCATAATAGTTCAAATCGTCTTAGGTAGTTTCTTTGTGTAAGATTTTGCGCATTACTAACTACTGGAGTGCAGCTTAGCAGGTCAGAAATCAATCATTTGTATGGAACACGGCATATTGGCCGTGATCTAGCTCGAGGACTGGTGGGTTTAATGGACTTTTTTTGCTTCAGTGAGGTTGGTTACTTGGTGTGATACTTGCATTTTCGAGTGCCATTTCTACTTGGTTTGATTCATTTATGCATTATTAAAGTTATTTTTAATGTTTTTCTAGGATCAATCATGAAATAATGTCAAACACTTGTTTTGTAATGTTAGAAAAGCCATTACTTGTGAATGAATTTTATTTTCTCTGCTAGGGAAATTTCTTTTGTAAGCTTAATAGTATATGATTTTTTTGTCTTGGTAGCTAGTTTGTTGACAACATTACTATGCATAATTGTGGTAAAACATACAAAGGTAAAGTTGACAGTGTAATAATCTTATAATCTTCTCTAACGATTTTTTCTCCCAAAATAGGGTCATCTGTTTAGAAGGATATCCTATCTCTAACTAATATAAGGAATAAGTAATTTCTATCATATATTCGTGAAAGTGGAAATGATCTGTATGAATTATGAACCATCTGCCTAGACATGAATGGTTGGGTATTCTTCAGGATATTTAGCTTTGCAAACTTTCCTTGGTAATTGTAGTTTCCTTTTATCCTTTGATATAGTGATATTACATAAAAAATTTATGCTCAACAGCAATTGGTCTAGTGGTGTTGTGTAGGGGTGAGCAAAATATCCGAAATTCGACTATCTTATTCGAACCAAATCAAAATTTAAAATTTAGTTCGGATTTTCGAATTGATTTGGATTGAATATTTTACAAATTTTGAAAATTCAGATCGGTTCGGGTCGATATACTATAAATATGAACCAATCTGAAATATAATATATTAATATATTTTATTATTATATATATTTAATAATAATGAGTTATTATTTTATTTTATTAGTATTTTTTTATATTATTACTATTGTTGGTATTTTCAATATTTTTAAAATTATATCTCAATAAAATAGATTCAGATATAATTTTGTAGATAATAAAATTTTATATAATACAAATAAATAAAAATATATATTTATTTATTTATAATTAACTTAATACTAATTTTAGACAAAATGAAAAATTTAAAATTTAGATAAAAATATTTGTTTATTGAAGAAAAATAGAAATAAAGGGGGTTTTGAATGGGTCTACGTAGAAGAAGTTAGAAATTTAATTAAATTGATTTATGTTTATTAAGTATGTTTAAGATAATAAATTTAAGTCATCTTTTTTACGAGACGGACAAAAATAGAAAAATGATCATATGTGGCGACGGAGGGAGTATTTTAATAAAAACATAATTTTTTAATAAAAAAGTCAAAATTATTAATTATATATTAATATACTTATTTTTATTTATTATATGTATTTAATATTTTAATAAAATTTTAAAAAATAAAATATCATTATAATTTTTTTTAAGAAATACTACCTCTGCTCCTTAACCAAGTATTCATTTGCTTTTTCCGTGTCGAATTTTGAATATTAATATTATATTTATAGGTAGTACAAATTAAGATAAAAAAAAAATAAAAATACCTCTATCAGTGTTGTATAATACAAATGCAATGACATTTGTATAAAATATTATTAAGGATATTTTTAATGTTAAAATACAATTATCTAAAAATCAAATGGATACTTTGTTAAGGGACAAAGGGAGTAATCTTTTCAAATTTTTCGGTTTGATTTGAATTTTTGGATTTCAATTTCGGTCATTTTAGGTTCGGATTGGGTTTTTCAAAAAAATCGAATTTTCATACTAGTTTGGATTTGGCAATAATATCTGAATGCTCACTCCTAGTGTTGTTTGCATCATAGGGTATATTTTGTAGCATCTGACGATGATGAATGCATTGATAAGATGACATTTACAAGAAATGCTCACTTAACACGTCTTATTAAATTGTTACATTTAGCTTTCCTGGTTATTTTATATTCCAATAACCATGTTTTAACAACTCTATAATGAAACTTCACTCCTTTTAATTTTATTTATTTTTTTTGAAGAATCTTTTCAAGTGGTGAAGGGTAAATTTCATGAATAATAAATTGGTCTAATACGGGACTAAAGAGAAAAGATCCCGCTGAAAGAGTGAATTTTTTGAATGGTTGATAAAATACAATCATATTTTTAGTGGTACAAACGATGCTTATATAATTTCTGTGAGTTTGGCCGCTTATAAGAGTTGTAGCAGTCTTTCTTTCTCGAAAATCATATTCCTATCAAGTCAGGACTGTTGAGTAGCTTTGTGTGTTTCTTCAGGCATGCCTTATTGCGGATATTGTTCAACATTTTGTTGATGCCAAGCTGGAATTTGATCCTACTTATGTTTACCAAGATGTTAATCGAGCGATTCAGCATGTACATCAAAGTGGTTTGATGCATCGAGCAATTCTCTCTGATCCAAAGAAGTACCTTGTAAAGAATGTATGTTCTCTTATATAAATCTTCTAATAATTATTTAGTACATTTTGAAGAATAGTTTATTTCTTGTTATGACTCTTTACTTCTTAGTAGATATTCTAGCAAGGTAATTTCTGTCCTTTTGTCTCCGTTTTGCTCCAGGGACAAATGCTCCGCTTTATAAGAATGCTAAGAGAGAATGGAAAGAAGCTTTTCTTGTTAACAAATTCCCCTTTTTATTTTGTTGATGGAGGAATGCGCTTCATGTTGGAGGTAATTAATATTTCAAGAGGGATGCACCCCGACTTTCACTTACAATCAAAATTGCTAGACTTCAATTAAGGTTTTCTAGTTAATGACAATTTATATTAGCATATAATATGGTTTATAAGCTGTACAACTTTACACTTATCTAGAAAGCATTTAAGTATGATTCCTCAGTTTATCTGTCACTTGGATGGGATACTCCAAACAATGGTGCTAAATATATTTTTTACATTTCTGTAGGACTCACTAGGAAAACAAGATTCGTGGAGGGAACTCTTTGATGTTATAATTGCAAAAGCCAACAAACCAGATTTCTATACATCTGAGCATCCATTTCGGTATTCATCCTTTCTTTATAGAACCTATTGGTTGTCTTTTTCTCTATGCTATGCAATTGTGTACTATCTTGTTGTGCTTTGATGTGCGGCTTTCATTTAAAGCCCTGAAGGTCAGGTGTTAGTTGGAGTGATTATTCGTGGTGGATTGGTGCCAACAATTTTAGCAGAAATCTTCATGTGGTTACTGTGTTGTTGAGGGTATATCATAACCAATGATAAAGAGTATACGAGGAGTATTTGTTTTTTTCTTTTAAAAACAGAAAAAATGAAGCATAGGAGGATTGATGAGTACCCTGAAACCATAATCGAAATTTACCCTGAAAGTAATTTCTTATAGATCCAGGTTCAAACCATGTAACTAACCTATATGATTTAAACAATCATTTGAGGAGTCCAGCAAGAGTATCATGAATTTCATATCTACTAGTGCCAAAGTGTTCTGCAATATTCATTGTATTAAGTGTCCTGGTAGATGAGGAATTTAATTGACTAGCTTGTCTCTTAAAACTTTTTGGGAACAAAATACTAGTTCTATATTTTCACTGTTCACTGTTTGAAATGCGTTTCAAACAATTTGTATAGCTGCTATGATGTGGAGAAAGATACTCTAGCATTTTCAAAGGTGGATGCTTTCCTTCCGAATCACGTTTACTATCATGGCTGCCTGAAGACATTTTTGAATATAACTAAGTGGAATGGTCCAGAGGTAAATCCTGATGGCAGCCCTTTCGCCTGGGAAATCTATTTATTTGAAATGTACAATTTAAAAGATAATGCTGACCTTTTTTTTTTTATCTCCAACTGCAGTGTATGTTCTTTTGTGATTGACACAATTTCTCTTTAACGCTTAGGTGATATACTTTGGGGACCATCTATTTAGTGACCTGAGAGGGCCATCGAAAGCTGGGTGGCGAACTGCTGCCATCATTCATGAATTGGAGGTATTTATTGGTTTATGCAATTTTATTTACTCTATTTAGTGAAAACAAATTCTGAAGCCTTGTTGTTTAACTCTAGTGAACAGAAAATAATAAATTTGAAACTGGAATTAGACAGGAGATTAAAGACACCCGAACATTCTTAGAATGTTAGTCGCATACCAATCAAAATAGTTATTTGGTGAATTTACTCAATATCTTAGATGTCATTTTTATTTTCTTATTTTCATGCTTGAGATATAAATTTTTCATGTCCTTTTTTTTTTGGCTGCTCTCAGAATGAAATACGTGTCCAGAATGAAGATAGTTATCGGTTCGAACAGGTAACCTTTTGAGTAGGCTGTGGTTGTAAATTTTAAGGAGCCATATATCTATATATCTTATGGTATAATTACTTTTCCTATTATCTGATGTTGAGAATTGTAGACTATATTATTGCAATTTCACCTAATTGGTCATTTCCCTGAGCAGGCGAAGTTTCATATAATACAAGAACTTCTTGGAAACCTACACGGGACTGCTTGCAACGGTGAGGGACGTGAAGCGTACATGCTGCTTCTTAAAGAGCTGAATGATGCAAGACAGAAGGCACGAGACAGAATGAAAGCAATGTTTAACAGTTCATTTGGAGCTACATTCCTCACAGACACAGGTCAAGAATCTGCATTCGCCTACCACATCCATCGATATGCTGATGTTTATACCAGCAAGCCCGAAAACTTCTTGTTTTACCAGCCGGAGGCATGGCTGCACGTACCATATGACATCAAAATAATGCCGCACCATGTGAAGGTATCTTTATTTTCCATAAATTTGTCTCAATACGTTTGTTATATTTTGTTAAACCAGTTTTATTTCTGCCATGCCGTTGCTGGTTAGTTTGCTCTCTTTCCTAACTTATCTTTCCTTGATACGTACCCCTACTCCATTTAAATAAGAAAACTAACTTCAAGATAAGCATAGACTACGATGCTGTGTTTATTTGCATTTCCTGTTCTTGCTGACATTGTTTCTTCTTGTCTATGTTTGACGATGTTGTGAAGATAATATAAACATCGTCAAACATTGCATTGACGACCTTACAAGAATTACCTTTCTAGCAACAATTTAGGTTATTTTTAACAATTTATTAAATTGGATACGAGTTGTTACCATGTGAGAAATTAAATAAATAAAGGAGTTATTTGTGTACACTCGGGTGTTCATCCTTGTCACCGCAATATATATATATATATATATACACTGTGCTGATTTGGGTAGATAACATCTCCAATCAGCACATGCTGTGTAACAAAAGCATGTGATGTGTTCATTATTGTAGGTGTGATGTAAGTGAGAATGTTATATTCGGTGTACAAGTGTAGAACTATATTTTATATTGTTAGTTCATATGTTGCATGTATATTATATTAATATAAATATATTGTGCATATAGAAATATAATTTGTTGTGTGTTATTACACGATTCAACACAGTACGAGCTGTCTATATATATGTATACACATGTACGCATGCATACGTATTACATAGTTAATGTTTGCCTTTTCAGGTATCTTCGGACTTGTTTCGAGCATGATGGTTTCATTCTCCATCTCCAAACTGGAACTGGATGTTTGTTTATACACAAAGTTGAACCATTTTTGGATAACCGATGAAGTTGAGCTGTGGATAATGCTTTCAAGGCCAGGAAGTAAGAGTGATATATCTTTCAACATTTCATTCTTTCATAATTTAAACTCTGAGGATATTCGATTTAAGGATGATGCTTTGTGCACATAAATTTTGCATTGTTGATGTCTAGTTTCCATTTGTCATTTTATTGACAACAATGTAGAATTAATGATTTTGTGCCTCAATATGGATGCACTGTTTCTTTCCTAGCTCTATTTGTTTGGAGGGTTTTTTTTTTATTTTTTATTTCAAAAATATTAAATCAATATATTTATTTTTATTTTTTTTATATTATATTAAAAATTAATTTTACCACCGCATTAATATCTATCAATAATTATTTCAATTGTCATGAGTTCAAACTCCCACGTCTCCATAGTTTGCTTAGTATGATTGTGCAAGGCCTTGTGGTTATGGGTTCAAAGTTCGAGGCCTTCAGATCCTCCTGTCAAATATGATTTGCCTAGTGAGATCCAGCTATAAAAAAAATAATAATAATAATAATTATCTCAATTAAAAAATTGACTATTCAAAATTTAAACCTAAACTCCGAAGCAAACACACATGATTTTCCAATTCCCTTTTGTTGTCTTGATGCTGCTCGCACTTGAGAGCAATTTAGCATTGTCGAAAATATAAGATTATTTTCATCTACAAAATATATATTTGTCAACTTAGATAGAATTTTATCACTTTTTAAATAATAAATTTTTTGAAAACTAATAGGGATCATGTATTTTTTATTTAAAATATAATATTTATATGACATCAAATGTTAGCGAAACAAATAGAATGAATCCAACAAGTTAGTTATGCCCCCAACGATTCATAACTAGTTGCTTGGTTAATGAAATTCACGAGAAACATAAGCCTTATTTTTTAAACTAATAATAATAATAATAATTTTTCTGATGGGCTTAAATAATGACAAGTGTAAATATTTTATTTTTTTTATTAATTACTCTCTACCGTCTTTTTCATTTCAGTTTGTTCCATTTATTTTGTCAATTTACTTTTTTTAAAAAAATATATACACTTTATTTTTATTTTTTAATTTTATTAAATTAATAAATTATTTTAATATTAATTTATAATTATTTTCACTTATATATTTTTAATTATTTACTAATTATATCTCTGCTGAATTCTCGTGCCTACCGTAAAGAACAACGTAGACGGGATAGAGGGAGTACAAAAATCCAATCATACCTGATAGAGATGAGACCGCTTTAATATTCATGGATAAGTTTGATCGAGTTCATGCATTAAAGGCGAAGATTTAATTATTGTTGGACTTTTACTCAATTATATTTACTTAGTTTCATTTGGGCTTGCAAATAAGTTGGGCTTTAAGCCTTTTAGAACTATTTAAACCTACTGGAAGACAGTTTTTGGATTAATAATATTTGGGACTTTCCCTTGAGTTCTCACCCAGTAGTATCACGGTGAACTCATTATCTCCATCTCAGTGTTCTTGTTATCACGCCCCCGCTACGTCAGTTGGTATCAGAGCCTTGATACGCTCCTGGATGATGCCACCTCGACGACAGCCTGTTGTTGACGCTCTAACATTAGACGATTTACGCCAACAAATCGCTACCCTAACTCAGGCTGTCAACGCTCTACGAGATCAACAACCCCACTTTGATGACGCGACCGCCGTTGGTGGACCGCACCGCCGCCCTCGCGAGCCGCCACTCGCAGATCGCCGTGCTGCCCCGCGCAATCGCGCCCCACCCCTTGACGCGGATGATCTCATCGATTCCGAAGAATACACGGTTTCGATTAACAATCCATTCGCGCCTCTCAACCCATGACAGCCGCCTCCAGCCACCGACTCACGACGGGAGCAGGACATCCCTCTTGATATACCAGATCTCAATGGTTCCCTAGATCCATCTGATTTTTTGGATTGGGTCAACTCGGTTAACGAAATTATGGATTTAAAGCGGATTCCAGACGATCGGAAAGTGGGTTTGGTTGCAACCCGTTTCCGTGGAAGGGCTAGAGCTTGGTACCAACAATTGAAGCCTACGAGACAACGACAAGGCAAATCGCGCATTGCATCTTGGACGAAATTGAAGAAGCATCTCCAACGTGAATTTCTCCCGTTCAATTACAAGGGTACGTTGTTTCAGAAATTACATTTGTTGCGCCAAGGCACTCGTTCGGTTTCTGAATATACCAAAGAATTTTACCAATTGATTGCACGGATTGACTTGGCCGACGCTCCGGATCAATTGGTATCACGATACATTTCGGGATTGCGTGTGTCTCTCCAAGACACTTTTAATTTGTTTGCACTACCAACTTTGGCAGAGGCACACCAGCGTGTCTTACTTCTTGAGAAACAGCAAGCGCGCCGTTTTGCAGCGACCCCTCCGGGCAGATCAATTCCACCATCATCTGCTTCTGGGGTATCATCTTCTCGCCCACATCCACCACAGACCACTCAATATTTACCGCCTAAGTCGCCGGGTCCACACCCGGTTCTGCCAGCCCGCACGACTCAACCTGGGCGTTGTTTCTCTTATGGCGAACATGGCCATCGATTCACAGCTTGCCCTCGCCAGCAAGGTCGCACCCTATACCTGGAAGACCTATCTACATTGCTGCCTGATGCGCTCCTTTATGAGACCAATACCGATATTTTATATATTCCTGAAGCGCACCTAAAGGGGGACATTGGTGAATTATTGGTATTGCGACGAAATTATTTGGCACCGAAATCAACGGACACTTCTCAACGCCATTCATTATTCACATCCACGTGTACTATCATGGGGTAATGTTTGCAAATTTATTATAGATTCCGGAGCATGTGAAAACGTTATTGCAGCTGATACAATGGATAAATTATCTCTTGCCACTGAAAATCACCCTGCCCCGTATGATCTCATGTGGCTTCAACGTGGTAAAACTGTTACGATTTCTAAACGTGTGTTGATTAAGTTTGGAATTGGTGATACTTATTTTGATACAGTTTGGTGTGATGTGGTACCTATGGACGCCTGTCACCTTCTGGTGGGGCGTCCCTGGCAATTTGACAGACAAGTCATGCATGATGGTTATAAGAATACATATAGTTTTATCTACGAGGGAACCCACATTGTCTTATACCCATCTGTTCCACACCCGTCTACACCACAGGTTTTATACCTCAATCACAGTGCCTTTATGAATGAAATTGATCAAACCTCTTGTGTGATTCTCCTTGTGGCGTGTGATGCAGCTTCTGGTATACCTCCTCCTGATACTATGGCACCATTACTTTTTTAGTTCAGCGATATATTTCCTACCGAAGCACCTTCTGGATTGCCACATTTGAGGGATATACAGCACCATATAGACCTTATACCAGGGGCTCCTCTTCCTAACAAGCCAAATTATCGCATGAGCCCTGCTGAACATGAAGAACTTAGGCGCTAGGTAGAAGAATTATTGTACCATGGTCACCTTCGGGAGAGCCTCAGCCCTTGTGCAGTCCCAGCATTGTTAACTCCTAAGAAAGATGGTACGTGGCGTATGTGTGTGGATAGTCGAGCTATCAACAAAAATCACTGTTTGCTATAGATTCCCAATTCCTTGTCTTGATGATCTTCTTGATCAATTGAGCGGTGCTTTGATTTTTAGCAAACTTGATATGAAAAGTGGGTACCATCAGATACGCATTCGACCTGGGGATGAGTGGAAAACTGCATTCAAGACATAGGAAGGTCTTTTTGAGTGGTTGGTGATGCCGTTCGGTCTTTCTAATGCTCCAAGTACGTTTATACGGGTTATGAATCAGGCCTTGCAGCCCCTTATTGGTACGTGGTGTTGTCGTTTATTTCGATGATATACTTGTATAAAGTCGATCCGTTGATGAGCATCTTACACATTTACGAGAAGTTTTTTTAATCCTTAGATAGGAACACTTTTTTGCTGCACCACCGAAATGCACTATCTTGTCGATAGGATTTTTTTTAGGCTATGTCATCTCGGGGGATGGTATTAGTGTGGATTTTTCTAAAATTGAGGCAATTCAGACTTGGCCTACTCCTACTACTTTTACAGCTGCTCGTAGTTTTCATGGGTTGGCATCTTTCTACCGTCGCTTCATTCGTAACTTCAGTACTATTATGGCACCAATTACTGATTGTATGTATGGAAAGTCATTTCAGTGGACTTCTGAATCAGACTCTGCCTTCTGCTTGATCAAGGAGAAATTGACAAATGCTCCGTTATTGATACTCCCTGATTTCTCCACCCTGTTCGAGTTGACTTGTGATGCTTCTAAGGTGGGCATTGGTGCAGTATTAAGCCAACATAATCGTCCTATTGCATATTTCAGTGAAAAGTTACATGGTCCTAAAGCCCGGTACAGTGCCTATGACGTTGAATTTTATGCGGTGGTTCGGGCAATACGTCATTGGCGCCACTATTTGTATCAGCAAGAGTTTATTCTTTACACCGACCATGAGGCTTTGAAGCATCTCAAGACACAGGACTCTGTCTCTTCACGACATGCTTCTTGGGCTGCTTTTCTCCAACAATTCACATTCATTCTTCGTCACAAGACTGGGGCGACGAATAAGGTCATTGATGCCCTTAGTAGACGTTATGTTCTCCTTATAGACATGCGGGCTGTAGTACCGGGATTCGATATTCTTCCGGAAACTTACAAAGATGACCCTTTCTTTGGTCATATTCTTACTGAGTTGTTGTTTGGACCTTCAGATGAGTACACTTTGGTGGATGGCTTCCTCTTTCAGGGTGTTTGTTTATGTCTACCTCAAGGGAGCCTACGTTTTCTAGTCATTTCTGAGCTTCATGGGGCTGGCCATGTTGGCAGGGATCGTACTATATCCACGATCCAACGTCGATATTTTTGGCCATCACTTCGTCGCGATGTCACTCGTTTTGTGGAACGGTGTCGCATATGCCAGGTGTCCAAAGGTACGTCTACTAATGCAGGACTTTATCTTCCCCTCCTCATTCCTACTCGTCCCTAGTCTGCTATTTCTATGGATTTTGTTATGAGTTTACCACGGACTCATAGGGGTTTTGATGCTATTTTCGTGGTTGTGGATCGCTTTTCAAAAATGGCTCATTTTAGCCCCTGTAAGCGGACAACTGATGCGGTACATGTGGCTCAGTTATTTTTTCGTGATATTTACCGTTTACATGGCCTACCCGAGTCCATTGTTTCTGATCGAGACACTCGCTTCTTGAGTTATTTTTGGAAGAGTTTATGGGGTATGACAAATACCCGTCTAGATTTCAGCAGTGCCTATCACCCACAAACGGACGGTCAGACGAAAGTTGTTAATCGTTCTTTGGGCAATTTGCTACGATGCTTAGTAGGGGAGAGTATTCGCTCATGGGATTCTCGATTGAGTCATGCAGAATTTGCACATAATTCTGCTTTGAACCGGAGTACGGGTTTTTGTCCATTTGAGATTGTATACGGCGTGGTACCACGTGGACCCCTCGACCTCGCCCCTGTTCCGCCACGGTCGCACTCCGACGGGTGAGCCGAGACCATGATGTCAGATATTCTTGACATTCACACCAAGACAGCTCAACACCTCCACACCTCAAAAGCTCAATACAAGAAGGCGGCTTATGCTAAACGACGACCGCTGGAATTGGAAGAAGGAGATTTTGTATGGGCGGTCTTAACTAAAGATCGATTTCCGTCCACGAATACAATAAACTGTCAGCTCGGAAAATTGGGCATTTTGAGATCCTCCAGAAAATTAATTCCAATGCTTACAGACTGAAGCTTTCCAGCAACATTCGGACTTTAGACGTTTTCAATATCAGATACCTCATTCCTTTTGCAGGTGATAATTCTTCCGGAGATGAGACCGCTTCTGATTCGAGGGCGAATCGCTCATCACCTTGGGAGGATGATGGAGATGAGACCGCTTTAATATTCATGGATAAGTTTGATTGAGTTCGTGTATTAAAGGCGAAGATTTAATTATTGTTGGACTTTTACTCAATTATATTTATTTAGTTTCCTTTGGGCTTGCAAATAAGTTGGGCTTTAAGCCTTTTAGAACTATTTAAACCTAGTTTTTGATATTGGAATACAGTTTTACGATTAACATTATTTTGGGATTTTCCCTTGAGTTCTCACCCAGTATACGTAGTATCACGGTGAACTCATTATCTCCATCTCAGTGTTCTTGTTATCGCGCCTCCGCTACGTCAATACCTTTCTTCTCTCTTTGTGTTTTTTTTTTTTTTTTTTTTTTTAGAGGATTGGATTTTGAATTTAGATTTTTAAGGATTTTGAAGTATGAATTTTTAAGTTGTCTTTATTTAGGGGTTTGAATTTTGTAATGATTATGTTGGAAAAAATTATTTTTTTTATGGAAAGAAATAATATTAATGTGATAGTTTAAAATAGATGGTATTTAAATATTGTTATAAAAATTATAAATAATAATGAAAAGATGTTTGATTTGATATTTATAAATTAAATTTAAATTTAATTTTGGAATAATTTTATATTTGTTTCTTTTATTTTTCAAGATTCCCGTTGTATTATTTTATCAATTTTTTTTAGATTTTTCATATTCATCCAAATTTTTTCTTCAAAAAATATAATATATTATACTAAAAATTATTTTTATATTAAAAATATCTCATCAACACTCATTTGTATTACATCAATTCTTAGTATTTTAATCTCAACCAAAAATTCAAACCCCTAAACAAACACATACATATTTTTCCCTTTTTAAATTTGGATTTGTTGGATAATACTATTCTCATTTACTACACCACTTGACGCCATAAATTTGTCATGGTATTAAAAAGCAATTGCCGACGGCATTGTGATTCAAGCCCCTCGATCAGACCTACATCTAAAATGAATAACGAGATACAATGCAATGTTCATGTTTCAACAAAACACATTATCGACATAGCGTATGTAACATAACACAATATTACCGTAGCCTACGCATTACAACATTCTACGCATCGCCAAAAAAAATATATAATCATCGACACTAGTTCCGGCATATGCCAATCATTACTACCAGTCACCCCGAGGCTCTTCGTCAGTCTTGTCATGTACTGGCCAACGGGAATGTTGCGCACCCTTGTGTCAGATGCAGCGGTTATACAAAATCCGGCTATTCGATATCCAAAATGGATTGGAACACCTTTATTCATGCTCCAAAAGAACTTCGAATCCCCCTTGCTTACTGCCGAAGTTGCTTATTCTAGGCCAATATATTGACGTATGAGGAAGTATGTTGTGGACATACTTCAAAATAGGCAAGTTCAATGTCGATGCCTTAGATGCTTCTGGATTGAAGATCCCACCGTTGCTTATTCTAGGCCAATATATTGACCAAAAAAGAGGCATTGTATGGCCATGTTCTTGTACTCAGATGTTTATGTGAATTGGCGATCATAAGGTCCGAGTGCAACGAAGAAGTCCGTGACAGATAGTGAGTAGCTACGGCCTCCATGTCGAAACTGCGGCGATCGAATTTGTCATACAGATACAAGTTCAGCCTGTCGTGCTTCAGTATGCAGAGAAACTCTAAGGCCAACTCTTTGTACGAAGACTCGTTAATCTCAAACAATCTCCTCCACACACCAAATAAGCATATTTAAAAGAAAAAATATGCAACAAGAACACACATCTTGTCCTAAACCATTTTGATATGGTTGGTCAAATCCTTAAGACATGATAACTTAATGGAGGAAGATGTTGGTAAATACCCTCGACTCACCAAATAAGCATAAGTAATTGAGTTCAAAATTAGAGGAATACTTGACTAAGTCAAGTGTCAAAAGGATGGGATGCACAAGGATTAGTTCAAACTACCGTATGATCTTCGAGTCTTTCTTCTTTTAGGTTTCACCTGCAGTTTCACTTGTAATGCCCCGATTTCGAAATGTATAAAATAATATTATAATAGCAAATAAATACTTTTATAATATTTTGGGATCAAGAGATTAATATTTCGGAATAAATTTTATTCTTATTTTGTATATTGATTATAATTATAGAGACGGTTAAACGGATAAATATCGATAAAAATAATCATAAAATATAATATATATATATATAATAATATAATAATAAATAATAATAAAGGTGATGATGATGAAGATAATGTTTATAATAATAATACTACTACTACTAATA